TTAGTCCTGGCTGTGTGTTGTTATGGACTCCAGCTCCTGTGACATGGAACAGGATACTTGGTTTAGACAATACATGGATAAATGTTTGCCTCTCGGTCACAGTGAGAGATTGCTGTTAATGTTAGGAGGAGCCCCTGTAGTTGTTTACTATGCCGCTGAGAACTGAGGACGAATGAATGAGCCAAGTGATTTGGAAAAACTGATTAGAGATAACCTTTATGTGAACACTGTCACTGATAACATTAAACGCAAGAAATATGTGCAGAAGCAGAATTCGCAATGGACCTTCGGTTAATAGCCTCGTATCTTTCCAAGTTTTAAGTCATGTAAGACTTTAGCTGTAGGCTTAATACTGGTCTTTTTAGTTTATTTACAGGATGTGCGTCGTTTCGGGCACCTGACCGGTGATGTCTTCCCGCTGGCTGTTCTTGTGTTTTGTTTTATCTCAACTTAGCAACCTGCTTTCAGTTCATCAGGCCTCAAGCTCCATTATGGTTATTCTCAGTGTGACTCGTTCTCTGTCTCCTGATTTTGTCTAAGCATTGGGGACATGGCTGCACTGTGGTCTAGCGTTGGGAAAAATAAACAGAATGATGACGCGTTAATGCAAAAATCTATGTAAATGGTCTGTTGAAATACAGTGATACAGCTTATCTTTGAGCAAGGGTGTGCACCACAGCAATAGTATTTCCACTGTTAAAGATGCAAAGGTAATGTTTCAATTCCAGTTTGGTTCTTCTCAAGTATATGATCTGGATAAGGAAATATAATTGTTACACAAAGATAACAAGTGAAGCGTGGCTACATGCAGATTTGACCTTAGGAAAAGAGGAAGTGCGTATTTTTTTTCATTGTATTCATGAATTGTTTTTCTGTGGAAATTCACTTTGATGTGAACTTTGTAAATCGCAGTATCACCTGATACAGAATCTTAGATGACTGCATCATTTGTCATCAACTAAATTACAAAAAATGTTCATGTGATGAATTTGCTGATATTTGCTGTAAGGTAATTTACATTTGAGTGTAAAAGTGTCGTTTTATATGATCTTAGACCTTCACTGTATCAAACTAGTTATATTTTATTGTTTTGGTTATTTATGAAACACTGGGTTAAAGGGACTTAGGAGGGACGTTTATTTACAACAAATCATCTGGAGAAAAAAATCTGATGTACCATAATCAATCACATAGTTTGTATCCGATTTGTTGCGACTGCACTGATGAAAGTTTGCTCAATAACACTCTTGAGAGTTAAAAAGCAAAAAAACAAAACAATGGAAATCCACAGCAGGTATGTCTGTGGGACGAGAAAGTCTCACTGGACTGTCTCCTGGGACACTGTTTCCCTGGTAAGTCCCATGCTGCTGATAGGCCTGCCTTCAGGTACTCAAAAGCCCCAGCAATCAGAAGAAAACAGGCTGAGAAAAAAAGAAGAGCTGTATATTATAACTAGAATAATCTGGACCATATAGCCTAAATGAACTTCATCAATAATAATAATTAACTCGACTCACTTGACATGCGTGTGTGTGTGTGTTTGAACAGAGCTGAACAGCGTGGAGCTGCAGGGCTGCAGCAGCGACAACAGCCTCAACAGTAATGCCAGCCTGCCTAGTGTCCAGAGCCACCGGCGCCACACTGAGAGGAGAGTGGCCAGCTGGGCCGTGTGCTTTGAGAGACTGCTGCAGGACCCCGTGGGGGTCCGCTACTTCTCGGTACTATAACAACGTCTGGCTGGTGTTGGCCTGCGCATACTCATGACAGATAAATGACTTTAAGCAACTCTTTTTAACAGTGTACTGAAAAGTGCAGGGTAGTTTTTTTTGTGTCAGCAGTATCATATATTGTCAAAAGACTGAAATGTACTCTAAAGAACTGTAATGACCAGCTTAAAAATCCTTTTATTCTAGAAGATCAGCTAAAGCATTATTTAAAGGTTGGATTTTTTTTAAACGTGTTTCTGCAGAAATAAAAGTTAAAGGTACAAACATATTACCTGACACATTTATATTGTATACTGCAATGCATGTATTGTCTATACATATATATGTATATTGTTTTGGTTTCTATCGCTGTTAAATCTGCCTCACACAAATAATTTTCTGAAATCTAAAAGCAAAACGAATCATCCGTGGCGATAACCA